AGCCTTGGCAACTATCGGATCTGGGGCTCCATCACATGATCTAAATCACTTGTTCGCCCGATGTGCCCCTGGCTGCCAGCCTTATTGCATCATTATCAGGCCTGTATGTAGCCTTGACACGGTCATTTGGCACTGTTCAACCTCCCCACTTTTATCTTTTTATTCACAATCATGCCTACTCTCCTGTTTTCTGCCTCTTCTTCCGTCCCTACCTCTACCTCCCTAGCCGTAGTCTTGCCGTTTCAGTTCAGCCTTTTGAGCGCTGGCGGGCAGACTCATGAAAGGACGGACGGACAGACGCAGACACGAAGCACGTTTCATATTACATGGACGCACTCATCCATGTGCGTGACTGGGCAAATAACCCAGACTCCAGAAAGTTTCGCGTCCACTAACGGACTCACCAGCCTCCACTTAGGGACCAACACCATCCCCTTTATCCCCTCTTTTGGCCGCCATCACGCCAGTCGGAGATCCCCTTCCGTCCGGCCTTCTTTCTTGTGGTTCAACTTTTTTCCTCCCATCCTGAGGCACGCGAACTCAGACATGCCATCCCTATCCTCCCCATCCTCCCATCCCTTCACTAGCCTCAACCAGTTCGTGTATCCTGACTCAATTAGAGGCTGAGAGCTGCATGTTCACTTCGTCGGTCGACCGATTCTTTGAGCAGATCTCTTTTACTTGCATTCTCTCGGCTCTTGTATCTCTCCCTCCCCATCTGGGTGAAGCACATCCATGCATCCAGGCGGATAGGCGAACAGAGGCATTTGACATAAACACACGCACTTACTGGCAAACAGCCGTCTGTTTAGCAAGTCATTGCAAATCGGACTGTTGCCGTCCTCTTATTGATAGCCTCAATTCGATGGGCGATTGTGGTGCTTCTCGAAGGCCGGTCTGTATGCCCGGAGCCAACTCAACTCGACCAACTTCCTCAATGGCGTGTCCGGTTCGTATGCTTTAGGAGTTTGCCACATCAGTCTTCCTCTTTTCAGCATCACTGAGACCCGCGAATAATTATGTTGTCGTCCTGCTCTACATTTCGTCTCTTCCTTGACCCCCTCCTCATGTTTCTCGCCCTCTCCCATCGCGCCAACTGCTCTGCTTTGTTCTAGTCAACACTCTCTTTCACCCGGTCCTGCCGTTTAATCTGTCTCGCCCACGTCCCTTTCCTCCAGTCCTCGGACCTGGTTACCTTCGCGCTGGGCATAGGGGAGTATCAGGAGCCGCCGAAGCGACAGAAACAACGAGCTGTAGACGCACTTTTGCCACACAATAGGCTCCTTGAGGCTCATCATGCTTGACTTGAAGGCAGGCCGAGCAATTAAGACATCGCATGTACCAGCACCCACTTGTCAGGCCGTCTGCTGCCTCTCTTCCCCAGCCTACTTCGCACCGTTTTGGGATGTCTCCCTCGGTTTTTGTTTCGTCTCTGTATGCCCGTTTGTACCTGAACCATCCCATTACTCAGGAAGAGTGTAACAATGCCTTGCCTGTTATTGCAGTTCTACACTTTCACTTGCCGGAAAACGGTATCTGTGTCTATCGCCCTACCACGTTCTCTGCTCACTCGACTGCCAGCCTTTATCGCCGGGCCACAACTCCAACCGTTTGTATTGTCTTTTCGTCGACGGCGTGAACATGCGAATGGTAATCGAGTTGCCTACGCTGACTGCTGTTGCCTGTACGAGCTAATCAAAGGGTTGTTATGTGTTGACGATCACTGGAGGGTGGGGGAAGGGAAAATTCTGGCTAAGTGGAATCCAGAACGGATGTGGCCTTGGTTCCTTGTGCAGATATTGCTGCGGCTGCGGCGGCGACGGCGGCAGTGGAGATACAGCAGGCATCAATGCGCCTCTGACCTGCATTGCATATGCCATGTGGAATCAGTCAACCCTTGAGCAAATGTAATAGACCAATGGGTGGGAGGTGAAATGGCAAATGGACACAGGCATCCAAACCAAAGGATGATTGACGCAGGGAGTGTACTCAGCAGGTGGGGGTATAGGCACAACTCTAGAATGGGCGAAACCGCAACGTATGAATGCCGTTATGTTAGGCCCTAGTGAATGCCTATTCTTAGTCCATTTCGTCCTGTATTTCCGCATACACCATTAGCCGACCTGGGCTGAAAGTATACAATCCGCTGCTCCACAAGACTGGACCAACTGGCTGCTGTAGAGTATGCGCAATAGTTTTAGGACTGTATTCAAGTTTTGAAATTGTCTCCGTCGGCTACACGCATTCGTGATTCTGCCGGATATCTAGTGGTGCTGGCGATGCTATTGATGTTGATGCTGATGATGATGATGATGATGCGCTGATGGGGGTGGCGGTAGATAACCGTGGAGAAGAAGCAGCCTCGAAATGGGACTTGAAATC